TGCATCAAGAGAAATTATTTCCCAAAACAGAATATTGGCTTCTGTAAAGCGATGGTAGAGATCTGCGGAAGTTTGTTTTGTACTATGAGTACCTTGAGCAGAAGGAAGTTGCATTATTTGTCTTCTCAAGAAAATTAACTTGTTCACACCCTTCTGTTTGTAACAAACAGAGTACCAGTTTAATAGCTACTGTTTCTTTATTAAGACTTAACTTTTCCTGTTTCTGCTTTCTCTCTACCTCGATTATTGTTTTCTAGTTTTGCTGTACTGCATATGTGGCTTTCACTGTTGTGTAATGGGTCAATGTGCTCCACACCTGTGAGAATTTTCTTGTGTTTGGCAGTGGTATTTTAGCACTGTTATTTTACTTACTGCACTAGGGTGTGTGAGTACCTCTTTTCTTTTTACTGAGAGGTAAGAAAATAGAGAAGAAGATTGATGTTGTTTTTGTTGTCCACAAATGTACAGTGGCACTAGCATTATCTGAAGATCATGTTGTGCTACCTAATCAATAAAAATAAACAGGCTACTAAATAAATGCTCCATTCACCTTAGTATATTCTTGTTCAGTTCTGGAACTTTTATTAGAAAGTGTGGAAAACACACAGAAGAGATAGAAAAATCGACTGAAATAGCATCCATTCAGAATATAAAGAGGTTTTTTTAATTTTTTTTTTCATTTCTTTACTATAGAGTATGCGTTTGTCTTCAGATGTCAACCTTAAACTTCCAAAAGTTTAATGCTTTTGCTTTTTCTATATGTGACTCATATTTTCTATGACTAACAAGCTGCATTGATTTTTAGATTTTCTTTCAGCTTTATTTTCCCCTAGACTTGTTTTCTTACGTGGGCAGAAAAGAAATATGGCTGCAAAGCAATTACTTCAGTTATTTTATTCTCCTGACCATGTGGTAATCTATTATTTGTTGATATGCACATATCTTTAAAAGATTGTTAAGATAATCTTTACTTGATTCTATAAAAGTTCTTCCAGTACCTGTGTTTTCATTCTGCTCTATTTTTTGCTTGCACTCTGTCCCATAGTCTGCTTGCACTCTGTCTGTGCATTAAACATTTAAACATCCTTTAAAGTGCAAATATTGCATCTCTGTGTGATGCTCTTGGGCCATGAGAGTTGGGAGTGGCAGAGGGGCAGTGGTAGGTAAGGGTGTTAGCTGTCAGATGGGGTTCTTGAAGCAGAGTGAGGGGAGCTGTCATGCTTGTCTTGGCTCCAGCTTGACACAATACCCTCTTTTCTTTGAATCCATGTGTCAGGCTGACTGGCTGTGCTTGGCACTCTTGGCTGTGTATGCAGCTTGTCTGTGCTGTTTGTGATGAAAATCATAGTAGAGGTCCTGGACAAAATAGAAAAGCTTAATACAAGTTAATGCTTTTTCTACAGAGGGCCTTCACCCCCAACATGGCCACATTGACTACATCTGCACTGGCAAACTAGACAGTGTTGAGGAACGTTCCCCACCACTAAAACTTAGTTGTTCTTGACATTAAACTCTTCCAATGGTTCCTGGCAAGCTTTTGGATCCAGACAACTTTTTTCTAACTGATTTCCAGGCAAGCTTTAAGAATTGGCAGGGAAAGCCCCTAAACTTTTCTTAATGTGTTTGAATTGAGTTTGTCACTGTTTTTGGAAAGTGAACATTTTATAGTGTAGATGAAACTTAGTTGATGCTAGTTGGTCTCTGGGCACATTTCTTAAACTAGACCTCATCCTCAAAAACTGAAAAGAAAATAAATAAAGATGCTTTTTATACAAGGAAAGTAACTGGGATTTTAGATTTGTTTTAATTCTGATAGCTTTGAATAGTGGTCTAGCAAAGGAATTTTTTACTTACCAGTATCTGAGTCCCTGAGCCACAAGCAAACTTATTTAAAGACTTACATCTGTGTATTTTATCTACACTAATCCTGCATAGTTGCTGGCCTTTTCTTCTGCAATTACAGTCCCAACAAAGACAAGTGGCTGGTGTACTTTCTGGCATGGAGAACAAAAGGTGGTAAACATGCCATCCCAGTTAACTTCTCACTTAAGGACATGTGGTATTAATCTTAGGTTTTAGAATATGCCTGAGTTTCATTTTTGGCTAGGTCTGTTGAATTTTTAATGCTAACAATGTGTAAGCTTTAAAACAGTATTTTAAAAATCGCATCATGATCTGTGTTCTTCCATTTGAAAATGATCATTGATACAATGTCATATCAGTAAAAATTATGCATTTATTCTGTTGGTGAATTCCTTCTGGTTTATTCTGTTCTTTGAAAGATTAGGACAGAACTTTATCCAGTATTTCCATGATCAGAAGCCCCACAAAAACTAAGAATCAGTGACATCAGTATCTGAGTCATTTTGGGATGTCTGCAGAGGACTTGATAGCGCCAGAAGGGTTTATAAGACAGAAAAAAAAAAGAAAAAAAAAAGTCTTTAAGGAAGATTAGTTTTAAAATTGCTGTATGTATGTCCCTCAGAGCATTGCTAATGGGGAAACATCAGCTGGGAGAATCTGACATTAACTTCAGCTGTAATTACAGTTCTGAAGTTCACCTTTTAATTCATTCAGTCAGCCATTCTTGTGGAGTGCTGGAACATTCCTGGTTTTGGGCAGGGTTAAAGCAACACTGATCCATTTTTCTGCTAATGCAGCAAGGAGGAGATCAGTCTTAGTGCGGAGCTGGCAGTGAGGAGAGGTGAAACAGTGGTCAAAGGAGAAAGCTATTGCTGAGGTCAGTGTTGTAAAGTCAGAGAAGATAGAGGCTGGAAAGACTGAGAAAGATTGAGTCTCAATTCAGGTAAACCATCTGCCCAAGGTGATCGCAAAGTGTAGACTGAGAAAAGAGACTGAGAACCCTTAATAAAGGCTATAACCACAAGAAAAAGAGCTATGATGAGAGGCAACAGAAAGGGACACAAAAGGAGAGTGACCAGAGAGAACTTTTTCTTGCTACATGTGGATAAACAGCAAAGGGAAAAGGGAGGCTTTGCCACTTCGTGTGTGTTCCTCTTTCCTGCCCAGCAGCCCTTCTGCTCACCTGAGGCCTCCTGTGATGGCGGCCAATTTCCCCCATCAGCAGCATATCTGCCTTTCCATCTGCCCCAGCCACAGTTAAAAGTATTGGAAGGAAAAAGGCATGGAAGAAATGTGGCTTTAATCAAATTGGTCCTTGATCCACCCAATCCTCAGTCCTGTGAGCAACATATCATGAGCAACATCATCAGGGTAGCAGAGGTGAAAGCTGCTCATTTTGGTGGCAGCTATCACTTTAGTTAAAATGGTCATGAAACCTTATCAGAGTACTTAAAATTAAATACATTTTTAAGGCATTGGTACATTGAGTAGAGAGATCTCAAGTAGCCCAGGTGTTTGTAGGTGTCATTTTTTCTCACAACTATGCTTAGTAATTAAGCAACTGTACTGCGCCTTGCAGCTATAATTATTCTGGCTATGTTAGATTATTGAATTTCCTGCAGACGTCTTGCTGAACTGTCCCACATTTTGCCAAGAGGATGATGTCTTCTGGTTGCTTATGGCTGTTGCACAAGCATCTCTTTGCTGGTCTGTGTCCCACAGCATGGCTAAATGTGCTTTTCTTAGGGGAAAGCATTTGAAATCTGAAATGATCTGAAAAAAAATGTTTTCTTAAGGGACATAATCTTAACGTGAGCTTGTCTATCCAGAGTAGATTTCAAGAGTCTGCGTATGCAAATATTTAATAATTAGAGTGCAATGTAAGTTGTTTATCAGGTGAGATTTGTTTGAGTAGGCAGAAAAATGCAGAAGAGGAATTAGGTGAAGATGACCTTGTGAGAAGTGATTGCAGTGTCTGTTCTGAACATCTAGAATCATTTTGTTTATTTTTGGTGTGAGTTGTCAAACAACACAAATCTCTCTGCTCACTGAAGGCTTGAGTTGCTGTCTTTAAGGTACAAGGTTATAATGATTGGCTCCTTTTTCAAGTGTTTTCAAGCATAAATTTTTTATAGTTAACAAATAGTGTTTCAGACTAAGGAAAAAAATCATTACCTTGGACATTAAAAGTGTCTTTTTTTTCTTTTTTCTTTTTTTTGATATTTTGCTAATCTGATTCTCTGCTTCTGTTGCATTATCAGTGAACTCCTTCGTCTGGTTTTCTCTTGTGGTTCTTCTTGATTTTTGTCTGGTGACATTCACGTGCATTTCTTCCTGCAGTCCTATCTGTCAATTCGTGAAGATCAGGATGTATCCTGGGTTTTTAAAAAGGGGTTTAGAATAAAAAATTTCTGTGTTTCGAAGCTTTCAATGCACTAATGAGGAGAGTTCCAGTGTGTCAGAGGTAATGGCTTTAATGTGGGCTAATTTTGAGCATGTATTCCAGATGGAATACCTTCATGAAGATTCAGACCTTGATGGGGAGCAGAATTTGTCTTTCATAGTGCTTCTTGATTTGTCTTGATGAGAACTTCTGAAATATTGTTCAGAGCACATTAAACTTATTAAATCTCATCTTTAGTTTGACTTCTTTGGTTGATAATATTTTCTTCTGGTGAGCTGCTGGTACAGCTAACAGTCCAAACACTACAACTGTCAATCCAGCCTAATGAGATCTGCTTTGATCATTAAAGTTATATAGTAGTAATAGTTTTTTATGTTTCTTTTTACTGTGAAAGAATACAGAGAATTAGCATGGTTTGTACACATATATCTGACTTAAATGTTTTCGTATTTTAAACTAATGCAAAATAGTTTCTTTCACACAAAAACTATATAGTCAAAGAATGTAACCATTACTGGTGGCAGTTCACAGTAATTATACTGAGACTGAATGACGTGAGTGTGTGACCAGGATCTGTGAAGTTTTAACACATGGAGAGAGACTAGGAAATTATGTATGTCTTATGAAAATGAGTTGAATTCTTTTCTATTTAGTTTGATTATCCAAATTGTGTTAAAGTTTTTATCACATAACAGCATGTTAATGCTTTTATTTCTGATTTTTTTTTTCATAGCTGCAAGAGAAACCGTCTGGTTAGAAAGAGAAGAGAGAGCACGGCAGCATTATGAAAAACACCTAGAGGAGCGCAAAAAGAAGCTAGAAGAACAGCGATTAAAGGAAGAGAGAAGACGAGCTGCTGTAGAAGAAAAGCGAAGGCAAAGAATAGAAGAAGATAAGGTAAAATGAAATGTCATGAAAACGCTTCGCAGCTTGTTTTTTCTGTAAGATATGGTGCTGCCAAACCTCTTCTTTTAAACTTGTCAGCGGAGATGTAATGTGAGCCTTGATCAGTATGAGAGTATACAGAAGAGGGTACGTATCTTAGTCACATTTTTTTGAAGTGCCCTGTGAGAGTCTGTTGCAGTTAGGTTGAGCATATCTACGATGCATTATGTGACACTACTCAACCTCGAACAGAAAAATAGAAATTGTACGGCTTCTGTATGTCTGTGGGTTAATTTTTAGCTGTTCATTTTAAGGCAGTAAGTATTAGTTGCTTTCTAACAAAACCTTCAAGACAGTGTGTACAGGACAGATGCTACTGGCTGATTTGTCTCAGTTGAGCTGAGAACTCCCCTTCGTCTTAGGTAAGTCAGCACATCGTTGCTTTTTTTTTGTCAATTCTCTCTCACTATCCTAGTGAGAGAATATGTAGGAGATTCAGAGTGGGAAGTAGCCCTGGTGTGTGTTTTTCAGTGGTTGTCATAATGGGACAACTGTTTTTTTCTTCCACAGTACTGCATAAGTCTGCAATACACCTTACTTTCTCAAAATTAGTTTTCAAAAATAGTTCAATTTATTTGTGGCTTAGTTATTGCTTAATCCAATTGTAGAGTTAGAATGGTTCGTCTGAGTGTGTATCTTTATTAGGCAGCGTTTAAGCTTGGGTGCAACTCCAAGAAACCTGCTAGGTGTTGTCCATGGGGAGGGTAGCAGTGCTGGAGAGGATTAATGTTAAAAACCTGGTAGTATCCAAATGTATTATCCTGTTGTACTTAAGGAACGACATGAAGCTGTTGTACGTCGCACAATTGAAAGAAGCCAGAAGCCAAAACAAAAGCAAAACAGGTGGTCCTGGGGAGGAGCGCTACATAGCCGCATTAATAACACAGGTAAAGAGGGAGGCCTGGCTTTCTAGCCAGTGTCCCTGCCCTGTCAGTTAACTGGAATTTACTTTCCTTCTGTTACGAAGAAAAATGATTCAGTATATGCTGTTTTAAATTCTCTGCTCTTTATCTTATTATTGCTAGCAACAGCATGTTTCTGACCTTCTTGTGTAGCAAAAACATAACAAGGGGAAATCTGAACAAAAGTGAGAACTTGTTTCGGGATTTTGACTAATTCTGCTCTTCTATTTTGCTACAGCTTCTCGCTTCTGCTGCTTTGCTATTGTTCATGTGTGTATGTGCTGGTGTGCTCGTCATGTGTCAGTTTTGTGATGTGAGCTACTGTGTGCAAGTGTTAAATTTAAATATTGTGGCTCAAAAAATAGTTCTGGTGGAAGTGACCAAATACCAAGATTAAAACAGAAAGAAGCAAATTGATTATTTGTGATTATTTGTATCTTGTACAGATAATCAGGGAGACTGGAAAAAAGCCTTTTTTGTTCCCTTGAAAAAGCTTAGATGGGCAAATTAATTTAATTTTTTCTGTATCATTTTTTCCTAAATTGTCTTCCCTAACTGAATCTGACAGTTACTATTAAGTATGTGCCCTGTTAAATGTGACTGGCGTTCAAAAAAGAGAACTTGTTCTGTATTTCTTTCACCAGAAATTGGTACTTACAAAGAATGCTTCTCTTCCTACTCTAACATAATACTTTTAATTGCATACAGCCTTTATCAAGAAGGGGGAAAAACATTAAGAATGATCTGAAATGTACTTCATCACACATAAGTTCAATGAACAGTTATCTTTCATAAAATCATAAAAGTTTTTTGTTTTTTTTTTTTTTTAATTAGCTCTGTATAACTTGATTTTTATTTTCTTTACTGTTAAAAGTCATTGTCTTGCATTCTGTCCCTAGGTTATTTTTTTGAATCATCATTCACCTTTCTCGATTTAGCAGGCCTGGAGCACCACTTCAGATCTCTGAGTGGTGCTAGAAAACCTGGTACATAGTCACTCTCGTTTGTTGATTCCTTTACCCATAGCTAGTTCTCAGGAGATGAAATCGTCAGTAACTAAACCACCCTCATGTAGCTGCAGTGCATGCTTAACATCATGCTCGTAGTTAGAACTCGTTAGTCCCAGATTTTGTTGTTGTTATTTATTTTTAATATGGAGAGTTATTACTAGCTGACTCCAAAGATCTGGCACAATTCACTAAAATGAAACGCAATATTCTGTCTACTGGAATTCAAGGAGATGTCACTTGAATCCTTTGATCTTTTTCTAAAATGCTTTTGCCATACTGCACATGCACATCACTCACATTTTCACATGAAGGCAAATACGTGATGAATGTGTTGCTCAGATTCTAATAACAAAAAAACCAACAGTCTTCCAGGTCATAGATCTCATTTGGCCTATTCTATGTTTGTAGGTTTGCCAGCACTTGCACAGCACTTGCACACAAATCTTCATGCTGAGTTTCATTCATTTGAATAATATTCATAGAATTAAGAGAAGTACTGGCATGCCATGCCATACGCAAGAGGCAATTTTCATGTTCTCATTTGTCATCTTCAAAAAGTTGTTTTATGCAGTATGTTCTTTTAGCCAAACGCAGAATTTCTGTTTTGCTGTAGTGATACACTTTGTATCCTCTCAAGTATAGATAAGATATCAGGGATCAAAATCCTAAACGTAAATACTGTTCTTACTGAGATCTATGACATAGGAAGCCCGAGTATCCTGTCTCCAGTACTGAACAGCATCATCCTTAATGTTATCAGTGTCCTGGTCTTTATATCTGTTTCCAAAACAGTTTGTGGACTTACCTGTAGACATGGAGAATATGAATCAGCAGAGCATTAGGCATCTGCTAAAGCATGGTTAAATTCTCTGCTGACTAGCACTGAATTTGCAATACGTGCTCAATGTGTAAGCAAAAGCAGAATCAACTCTCCCACTATCTTCTGATTCTCAGATTTCCAAATAGAATTTGCACTAAAGAATAGTTAGTTGATACACTTAGCTTTTTTCTTTTCTTTGATTTTTGAGAGAGAAGACAAATCATAAAGCTGGCTGTCCTGCTTGCTCTTCCTCTTCAGCTATTGCTAGCAACTCTCCCATGGCATACACATGTGCACAAAATGTATATGATCTGTATCATATCATCACCTCTCAGTAGGGTGCCAATTGCACAGGCAAAAGCTGTAATGCTGTTCTCAAATCCACGCAGCCTAGAAGCAAAATACATCCCTTTGGTATTATATATATTTGTGTATATATATATCTATACAGCAAGCATGTGTGTGACAAGTAGTCTGCAGCCTTCCACAAAGACTCATTTTCTTTATCTGTTAAGCTGTGTGCAGTTTGGATTGACTAACTGCAACTTCATTCACAGAAGGTAGAAGTTAACTCTGGTGGGAAATTTAGCACTTTCACAGTGACGAAGACATAATTATACCTTTTGTGCTTACTCCTGCTCTTCATTTGTACCAGCCCTCCCTTAATCTGTTGGAATTTTGTTAACACGGTGCTGACCTTCTGCTGAATACCCTGTCAAATATCACCTTTGATTCAGGTTTTGAGGGTTTTTACTTGAATGTTTTAACATTTCCAAGCATGCTGGCCTTTCCCTGAAGCTTCTATTGTGAGTCAGGTGTCAGATTTTTTCAGAGAGTGTTGAAAGAAACGTGGAAATACCATCCTGGCTACTAATGTCTGCTTCAAATTTTCCATTGAAGTCCTCGGATTGCAACCTGATTGAATGATAATCAGTGAACAGAATATTTGGAATTTAAATTGAACAGTTTTGTGCCCAGTCTTTGAGTCATCTGTACAACGTCTGCTGAGAAATCCGTTCTATTTTGAAAGTTCTTGTGGTAGAGCAGGAATGATCTAGTCATGTTTTCCTCCTAGTTCACTAGTGAGCTAGAAACTGGCATTACTGCATGTGGGCTGTCAATTAGCATTATCTCCATTTGTTTTAGATCCAGACAGGCGATCTGTTTCAACAATGAACCTTTCGAAACATGTTGATCCAGTCATTAACAAGCGGCTCTCCTCCTCATCTGCAACATTACTAAATTCTTCAGACAGAGGTACAGTTCCAAAGAGGAAAAAAAAAAAAAAAAAAAAAAGAGCAAGAAAGAAAATGTTCAATACTAATGTATGGCTTTGCACGTAAAACAAGTCTGAAGTCGTTTGCTGTGCTTTATGTAAATGGAGTGAAAAGACTCCGAATGTGAAAAGTAAATGGTTGAACATTTCTTTTTCCTGTGAGAAGAAATATGTATTTCTTGTTTTTAAAACAAGAGAGCTTACCTAAATGATCTCACTTCAGCAAATGATAAAAGTGGTGCTTCTGTCAGGTTTTTAGTAAATGAGGTACAACAATTGAAAGAATACATCTCTCCATACTGCATGCAATTTTCTGTGACCTTTTATTTCTGTTATGCCATTTTGTCATTATTTGCTTTTGTTTTATTTTGGTAGTCGTTCTTGAATATCTGAAGACATGTTGCATGAAGCTTTTGAGCAGTTATTTTGTTACCATTTCTGATTATTTTTAATGATGGTGTATGGGTATTTTTCATATGGTGTCTGTTTATTGACTTTTTGAGTCCAGTTACTTTTCAAAGATTGCTTTATTTCAATGTATGTTTTCAGTGTTTACAACTCTGCACAACTGATAAACAATCAGGGTTCTGTGAGTTAATGTAGCTGTATTGCTGCTTCTGTTTTGAGGATTCATGGGGTAGAAGCACTGAGCCGAAGGGAATGTTATAAGAATGTCTCCTGTATAACCTGTGCAAAGAGCTTTACAGAAAAATGCTTGTGAAGGACTTTTTGTTCTACTGAGAAGCTGTGGCCCGTTTCAACCCAGAGAAGTGCATATTTTCAAAAATAATTTTTAGAGTGGAGCTTTAGTTGTATTACAAAAATGGTTGGGTAGACGTCATTATTTGTGTGTTTTAAGTGCCATGTTTTACGTGCATGCTTTTGGATGCCTGTTTCTGGTTGCTCTGACCATATTAATGCTTATAGGTTAACACAGTTCTGAAGTCTGGTAACTTGTGAAACATAGTGTTATCTTACAGCACAATTTATTCTAGAACTCCAGTAATTTTTTGCTCTAAAAGTTGAAGCCCCAACAGTTGTATTTTGTTCCCCTTAGGTGTGTATGTATGTGTATTTTTTCCGATTGATGACTATTCCTTGCCAGGGATGATTCTTTGTGGAAGAAAGGCATTAAATATTAGGATAGTCTCTTGTAGAGTGTAGCTCAAGGTGTAAATGTTTTTTACTGTACAATTACTGTACAAGTTGGACTGAGAACTAGGTGGTATAATGGCAGGTGAAGGGAAGGAGTAAGGAAGTGGGGGCTGTATGTCATATACTTTAAATGTCAAGGCATTCCTTTCTTGGCATATTAATTAAAAACGGTACAGAAGTCCTCAGAAGTCTCTTATATTATGGAGTCTGCAGGAGACATAAAGCAAATTGAAGTGGTGTAAATGTCCTTTTTCTTGTGCAGTCACATAGCCAAATCTGGTTGAGCACATAACTGGAGAAGTGCTGCACACCTCTCCGGTGACCTCAGCATCTTCAGGCAAGCATTTAAAGAAATCATCTGCCTCTCTGCTCCTTTTTTGCCTTCCAGGGACCACCAGTTGTGTTTTGCCTGTAACAGATACTCCTACCTACAAAACAAGAAAGCTGGAGATGAGGATGATAAGCTTACCCTAAGTGGCTTATAGCTGTCATCAAGAACATGTCTACTGTTAAGCAGTGTTTATTTTTAACTTTTCTGCCATTTGAAGGACAAGATTTATTATGGCCCAGCCAAAGATTTCATTAATGGTTTGCCTGGTTAATTCATTTTGAATTACAGTACTGCTACATAGCTCTTTATCACAATTTTACAATCCGGCAGCTAGAACAGGCTTTTCTTTGTGCTCTGATAGGAGTGGTACTGGGTAGTTCAAACTTTGTAACAGATTATGAACAAATACATTCAATTGAAGAAAGCTTCTGTCGGCCAATAAATTCTGGTAATGGTGCTCTTTAAGGAGTACCTAGCAAATGGATACTACCATAAGTAAGGTATGGCTTTCTTAGTTTTGAAAAAACCTAACTTGTACTGTAGTTATGCTCTTCCTCCTCTCTGTAGTGAGAGGAGGTGATGGTATTGATCACTGTATCTACTTTGTCTGCCAGCTTTCTAGAAGAAGTTCAAGGCCTGTTAAAAGAGAGTCTAAATGCACAAGTTTTTTCCCACCTATTTCACAGCATTTCTGTGACTCTGACAACCACATATCACTGAGAGTCCTTCCTTTGTGTTTCTCATCAGGAGACCTGTTAAATCCCTGCCTCCCATCTGTTGCTAGTACTAATCAGATGCTGTTGTTTGCTTACGTGCAATATATTCTGCTGCTACTATGATAACTTCCTAGTGTTCAGTTGATATATCCTGAAGGTAAATATAGATGACTGTGATCAATTCACCATTGCCAGCTCTATGGCACTTTGTGGGGTTTGGGTTGTTGTTTTTTTTTTTCTTCTTCCTTCCAGTTGTACTTAATTAATCTGTTTAACCTGCCTAGGGTTACCATACCATGCCATACCATAACGGTATGCCTACCTACCACAAATGCAATTCCAGTGAGGGACCAACGAGCAAGCAGCCTAAGACAGTATAAGACCAACAACAAAATTGTTTCCTCTTCTCTGTTGGGTGTTTTGATGGGTTAAAACATCACCCCAACGTTTTTGAAAACAAGAGGAAAAAAAAAAAAGAACAAAAAAAACAGACCTCATTGTTTTAAAGCTAGTTTTGTTATTAAACTCTGTTTTGTATTCTTCCTTCCGTGTGAACTGGACTCTGAAGCTCAGTTGTTGAAAGCATTTAGGGTGAATGTTCTTGTACTTGAAACTCAGTGAGCCGAAATGTATTTGGCTGCTCTGTGCTGATGGTAACACTAGTGACTGGTAGGGTATGTACTGTAAGTGTCAAATGTAGTGCTTTCACTGAGCTGTATATTTGGAGTAAGTGATGACGTTGATCTACAAAACCAAGATGTGCTTATGATGAACTGTGATCTAAAACCATTTTAAAGCCATAGGGAGACTCAGATCCAAGCTCCTGGCTGAGACTGTTGTGCCACCTTTCAAGTACTACTTAAATGTACTGGCACTATCACACTTCTCTCAGCTCATTATTTGGGCATGTCAGCTAGCCCTCTACCAATCACAGCCTTGTTAATTGGTTGCTGGGGGCACAGAATTGCTTCCAGTAAATAATGTGGATAAGATGTGTCAGGAGTGAAAAGAAAAGGTAATAAAACCATACTTATCTCCTAGGGCAAATTACAGGGGGATAGCTGAGTGCTGTAAGACATCAGTTTCTTAGCTTTGGCCTCTTCAGACTGCCTGTTCTGTGGGACTTGTGTGAGGTTTACAGCTGGCCCACAGCACCAGATTACATCGTGACATTTACTTACCAGTTCTTTGCAGCTATACAAATGAATTCCAGGAAACTTTTGGTATGCATAGTAGTGCTGTTGGCCTAAAATTTCAGGTATCATTTTCTAAGGTGTGGAGCCAATTTCCATGCAGTACTGGTGTTCTTCTGATAAGTTGTATAGTCTTTGTGTTAAAATATGGCAGAAGAGTTTCTCCAGACTCAACATCTAGTAAAGGATGAGACCACAAAAAAAGAATTTGCTGCCTTGCAGCGGGAGACTTAAAATATGACCACATTGAGCAGTGCCCAGAGAAGATGCAAAGATTTTCATCACTATTGCATCCAGTTTAATGGTAGTCCTATAACTTGTTCTTCCTTGTTAAGTTGCAAATTTAATGATAATTTGTATGCTGTAATGGAGATCTCTAAAGGGTATTTTGTGTCCCTGTATAATCTGTAGCTACACAGAATGGAGCTATTAATCACAAAGAGCTCTGGCAGTATTGTATTATGTAAGAACGCTTATCCAGAAGGCCTGCTGTGTTTTAGAGTACTATATTTCTATACTAATGACACTTATTGAGTTAGCAGAATTTAGGTGAGCAGTTTGAGAAGTGGAAAAAAAAAAAAAAAGCAGCACTGAGAGCAGATTAGGCCATTATATTCTCATAGGATGAGATTATTGAGAACAGCCTCTCCTTTCATGGGGCTTGTTGTGGAGTAGATTAAAGAGAGCTTCCAGGTTTATGGCTTTCAAAAGAAATGGATCTCTGCCTTTAAAAATACAAATTAGTCTGTGGTTTATCACAGCCAGTCATGTCAATGAATGTTTTAGGGACTGTGCCTCGTTTAAAAAAAAAAAACAAAAAAAAACCTCATTCAAGTTGCAGTTTTCTGAACATAGAGAAACTAAGGCCAATGAATGGTGGGGTATGAAACAACCTAATTTCTCTTTCAACACTGAGATTTTTGCCTGAGTTTACTGTAATGAACTATGAGAACTATTCCAGTGTTTTGACTTGTGGTTCTCCGAATAATACTATTTGTTGCACCATACTGTCAAAGAGCCATCTGGTACAATAACATACAGGACTTCTTTGGATACTCCTTTGCCATAATCAATACTTAAATAATGATTAAAAAAATCATTATATTAAAAATAATAAAGAAATGATGTGAGGCAGAACAAAAATACTGATAAACTAAATTTGCATTATGTAGTACTGAGAGAAACACTTGTACAGCCAGAGCAGCATGTATAACCTGTTTTCAAAACATACTGACAATGTAGAATGTTGAATCTTGTTACTGCTGTAAATAGAAAACTATCATTAATGAGGGTTTTTGGCAGAATTAAATACGCTATGTATTCTGAGGCACCATGTGTAACAAAGACAAGTGTAGCTGCTGAGCCTGGCATCTACAGCTCAGGAGCACTGTATCCTTTTGTGATGCTTTGACAAAGCCTCATTCTATGACGAAAATCTGTATGGTAGTAAGCAGCCCTCTTTGTTTTTTGTTTCTATCTAGGCTAGCAGACTGCAGATGGTGTTTTAGTAATTGATCTTTTGTATATACTTATGTACCTGGTATGTAGAAGGATTTTGAGACACAAATATCTCTAAGTCTATATTAAGGAATGGCAACTGCTGTCTTGGTACAGAAGTTATCTTGCCATCCCTAATAGTAGGTCGTATGGGATCTGTGCAAAACATCAACATTAACCTGATAACAATTCAGTGTAATGCCACAGTCAGTAGCACAATATAGATGACTGGCTTTGTGATCAGCAGGAATTCCTCCCCTAAAATGGAGTAACTCTGAAAAACTAAGCAATGACTGGGTGTATGGTTTGGGTTTCCAAAAGGTAGTTTCAGAATTTCCATGGTGTGTAGTCTAAGGCTGTAGTACTAACACTTCTGCTACATGTGGTCATTTGCACGCTGTCTGACCTAACGTCTTGCTTGTATGATGCACGTTCAGCTCGCCGTCTGCAGCTCAGTCCATGGGAGAGCAACATCGTTAGCAGGCTCCTGACGCCCACACACTCATTCCTGGCCAGAAGTAAAAGCACGGCTGCATTGTCTGGAGATGCAGGTAAACCTATAAGAGCAGAGACTTCATATTTCAACCACGTATATTTCCAGGTTCCCTTCAGGATGTTGTAAAATTATTGATGTAATTACGCGTGTACAGTAGCATCCCAGAATGAGTTTGGAAAACCTAGAGTACGTTGTATGACAGCTTGAAAGCTTTTGCTATGCTTGATTTGCTCTGCCTCTTTCTTCCTCACTTCTCTCTTAACTATCTTTGGCCTCTTCATCATTGTAAGAAGGGAATACAACACATGCAGGGCAACAATTTCACGCTGTTTGTGGCTGCTGAAGGAAATGCCCACTATGCTGTAAGGAACTGATTCAGCACACCCACGCTGTGAGCTGTTTGCTGCAAACAGTGCCATTCTGCACTGGAGCACTTCTCACATGAAGCACGTTGGACACGTTAGAGGGATAGGCCCTGGCTGCAGTAGATTTAATAGCATGTAAAGTTAAATGTGCAGGCTTAGCAAGGTGACAATAACTGTCAAGTTCTCTGATGACCCCAGAACATCCCTTTGATGAACTCCTGTGCAGAAGATTGACGTGCAGAAATATGTAAATATTGATAGGAAGTAACTTAAAGCCTTAGTAAAACTACATTTCAGTGACAGCCAGGACATACTGGTTTATCTTGTGTTTTAGGCATGTGACAGCTGCTTTTTTTCTTACCGTAGATTGTTTTGAGAACATGCAGTAGGGGTTTTACCATTTCAGGAGTACATTTCAGCACACGTCAAATGTTTAAGCCTAGGCAGGTCTTTCCTGTTTAATATGGGCAGATCTTTATTTTAATTAAAGGACATAGAAGGTAAGAGGGAATAGAGATCTCCTAAGATTACTTTTAAAGAAGCTTTCACTTAAGAACTCTTATCTCTAATTAGGCTGCAGTACATTTCCATAGGGAGAGAACCATAGGAGCAAAAATGTGACCGATATTCTTCAAACGGTGGAATTAACAAGTAGAAATTCCTTTTCACTCTTCATGACTTTTAAAGCAATAGCTTGTAAAGTGAAAGCTTAACATCATCCACCAGGCAGGATATGGAAATGCAGCTCTTAACTAGGGAATACCTGAGAAAGCAGTTTCTTAAATTTGAAAGTGGTTACTTAACTGCAACACGTGGGAAGATAATTCTGTGACTGCTGTTGTTTCATGCTGAAGCTCTAAACTGAGTGGAATATTGAGAAGGATTGCAGATAGCAGGAACAACTGATTTATCAGTCATCATTTTGAGGTAACTCTCTAGAAATACTTTGTCTGCCCTAACTGGAACTGTACCACCCAGAAGAATAATCCATCTTTTCATTGTTTTCCAGGTATTATTCTCTAGGAGCAATAAGTGCAGTCCCTTCATGCAGGACTCTTCCTGGAGATTAATGATCAGGTGGTGGTAATGGCTCACAGCTGTGCTCTGAGCACTCCACTCATCCCAGCCTGTCATTATTCCCTAGAAAATTACCCTGCCTTTTGGCTATAAAGATGAATTGCAATGCAAAAAATCAAATTAAATGTGGATCCATGTCCTTAACACTGAAGTTAAGCAAGATACTGGGGACCTCCAGCATGGGTATACCCAGATAGATATATATAAGTAACTTTCCAAAACAAAAATGTAATTTTAAATAACTCTCCTCTGTGTTTGTAATCCTGTTGGTACATCCTGATTCACTGGGAGTGCCTCATACAGCGTTGTTTGGCAACCTTGCAAATGGAAACGAGCTACTTGTCTTTGAGCATTTATGATGTCATCCTCTGTGGTAATGTTTGATAATCAGCATGCAGCAGCAGAATTGATTCACAGAGGGTGGAAAATATGTAAACTGTAAGCTGTTAAAATATACATTTTGGCCACTGTCTCCTGTCAGGTTCAGACATGCTCAATCAGATTAAAACAAACAAACAAAAAAAAAAAACAGATTTTTTTTTTAAAGTTGTTTTCTTGTTTTCCAGTTTTTATGTTTGTCACCTTTTATTACCCCATTAAACATAAAAGTCTATAAATAAGGAGACATGAGGACCCTTGCTGTAACATTTGCATGAGACTTCCTTTATTCATAATGTTAATCTCCCATTGCAGGAGAATTTGAAGAGTTAGGGCTGTTAAGTCCTCAAAGTACTGTTAAGTCTATGAGCTCTTCCTGTGACAGCAGTTGCGCTGCCGTAAGGCTGCAAGAATTAACTGTGTGTAGAACTGTGTGTGCTCAGAGGTCTACAGGCAAGAAATGTTTTCTTCTGAGGAAAATGAGGAAGGGAAGCAATAGAAAATTAACCCATAGAAACTCTGCTCTTTTCCTTCAAGTAATATATTGAATAGTAATGATGATGTGACAATATTAAATGAGCAGGAGAGACAAAGACAAACAGACAAGTAAATCTAAAGAGTAATAACAGTTTTCCCCAACCTTGTCCTTCAGTTAAACAGGGAGGAAGTCTAAGAATACTTTACTGCAAAAAGTTCCCCATGATGCATTTTGCAGTGTTATGGTTCTCTTTGACCATGTACTTGGAACACCATAAACCTGATAATCTGCCATTGACAGGAGATCTTTTGGTAACAGTCTTTGTCCTTGTTCAAACAAACAAAAAAAAAATCCTGCCATCCTGGTTACTCTTTCAAATCCTAGTTTGTAGGTTGATTTATTGTCATCAGCCTGCTTTTTGAAGTGTATAAAATATTTTGCTGTTGAGAATATGTTTAAGTTGGCTCTTATTGTAGCATGACTGAGAAATATTGAAAGTTTGTATATAGGTGGATTTCAAATATTTTTTAGAGTTATTTGAAATAACACATCACATGATAGAAATTGTAGACAACAGTCAATATCACTGATTTCCTAGATGGAACTGTTCCTGTTGTTAGCATGTTTGACATCTCCTTTTTCTCTACTTCCAAGACCAATTAATAGAAAGTCTGGTTTTATTTAGATTGTTTCCTGTTCCAAATGTAGTTGAAATTCATTTTAATGCATATAGTAAGCTAATCAACTTCAGACCAGTTGTTTTGTCCACTTCTTTTTCAGAAACATCAGTTGTATAAGAAAAGAAAAACTTTTCTTTTTACTACCCACTTATGTGCCACACCTCTTTAATTTATTTAAAAGAAATTTACAAGTGGATCAGTACATGGCTGTGTATTAGAATTGTATCGTTACTATACATATAACCAAGCTGAGGTAGCACATGATGGTTCTGATTTGAGAATTAGTCATTCCTCTCTATTAATATCTTCTTTCTTTTCTCTGTCTTTCTCTGTTGTTTCTGTTCCTGCTGGCTTTCCTCTGTCAATTCTCCAATGATGCTCTATAATTATAATGAATAATTAAAAAAAACCAACCAACACCGTAGTTATCCCCATTTGTCCCCGTTCAGCATCTTGCAGCCCCATCAGCCCTCTGTCCTACAAGACCATGAGCTGTAGGAATTCAGCAGACCGAGCAAAACTTTTTGCATCTACTGATGCTGTTGGACGTAGAAGAACGCATCTGGCAGGGGTAAGTGTGCTGGTTATATGTAAGTTAATGTCTCATGCTGTAACCACCTGATTGAATTTCTTGTTAGAACAAGAATAGCTGTATGTATGTAATGTATATCTAACATTTCCCTCTGCAGCCTCCCATTGCCTCCAATTTGTTTCATAGTTAGTTAGATTTTAACTGGTATATACTATATTATCTGTTGCCATAGCCTGATTGTGCACTAAAGAATCTGCTTGGGAAAACACTCATTTTTGCAGAATGCCTTGTTTTCTCATGAGGTATGGAGGCAGTTGCAGAATGTTTTGTCCTTTTCTCTGAACTTCCAGGGAAAATCAGAGCAGTCTGATACAGGCAAGATCAAATTAATGTTGACTGTAGTAAGAGTGAAGTCTTCTCTGCAAATGATTATGTACACGGGCAAAGTATCAGGAGACAGTGCTGTCTATTATTGACATCATTTTCAGAAGCAGTGTTAGATGAAGGAAGCATGCATCAGAGCCAGTATTAAGCTTGGAGGCACGTGTTAGTTTGCTGAATTTTAGGCTGTGACATAGCTTTAGGTTATGTCTCTACAGAAATCTTGCACTATGTGTAGAGCATGTTGTAAACTCCCGGGCTATCAGTTTGGCACCTCTAAGGTCTTTCTCATTGTTTTTTTGTTTGTTTTGTTTGCAATTAAGAAGAAGAGAAGTTGGTGCATCTTGATGAAAAAAATGGTGTAAGAATATTGTTAACACCAAATGACAGAGTTAAGAGTTATTTTCAGTAGCCTCCATATTTCGGAGAATCTTTTTACTGGTTAGCTTCTGTAGGAATTTGGATTTTTTACTTCACTGGGAAAAAAATTGCTGATACTGTATTTTCAGGACTAATTAGGAAGATCCTATATAGACAGTTTTTGTAGCAAACCAGAATTCTTGTTCATTGTAATGCATTTACTCTGGCTGTATGCAATCTGATAACTCGGGTGATTACCATCATACTAGACAGTAGAACTCTTGTAAATGATAGTGCCAAAGGGCTGGTTAAGTAACAACTTCAGGACTGGGACCACTTTTTGCTTATCACGTATTACATGGGGTTTTGACAACATGAAACAACTAGTTTTACCCCTATGCAAAAATACTTCATGGATTTACAAAGATAGACCAAAGTTTATACGCTCATACGCTCAATGGAGTTGTTTTCCATCTCCAGCTGTTAGACATGTTTTCATGTCTCACGTGCTCACTCTATGAGTGTGTAACAGCCCCTTTACACCATGCTGGCTGAGTGACAGCTCATTGTATTCTCCTCTATTCTCATGCTTCAGACTCTGAGAGCTTAAGCTCATTACTCCAAAAATCCAGAGTCTTTCATTTGTATTTAAGTGGAGGAAATATGTAGATGTTTAAATTCTTATATATAGCCTTAAGCCAATTGTTCTATTAATACAAACCAGAGTTGTAACATAAATATTTTCAAAAATTAGTATGATTTTTCATAGTTCTCATCCCAAAATGAAAAATAAGGGAAGATATGAAATCACTATGATGCAGTGTCAAAAAAACAAACAAACAAACAAAAACAACAACAAAAAAACCAAAAAACAAAAAACAAACAAAAGAAACCAAAAAACAAAAAAACACCATACAAACAAAAACAAAAACAAAAGCCCCAATGGGGAATCATTCAAGAAGGGCATGAGGGCATCTGTGGTGTTGACATATAGCAATGAAAGAAAAAGTCTGTGTTGTGTAGAGATTCTTACCACTTACCCACTCCAGAGAGTGGGGTTTTTGGTGGTTTTTTTTGTTTGTTTTTCTTTTTCCCCAAATGAAATCCAGGCTTTGTGGGGAGTAAGTATTGTCTTTGGAAGCAGTGGAAGGTACTGTGTAGCAACCAGCAGAGATCAAACCTTAAAAGGTAACTTTTTGCCTGTGTAAAAATAAGCCTCTGCAAATTACAGCTTAAGAGAGTAAAGAGCATGATTAAGAAGGATCATTGTTTTCAGATGTGTATTTCCTTACAAAAGCAGTGTCAGATTACAGAAGCTATGTTCATGAACTTGTCAAACAGGCTGTAGAAACTACTGACTCAGCGCTACTTTTTCTCAGCCCCACAACTCCTCATCCTTAACTGAGCTTGGTTTGCTTTCTTAGCTGTGTGAACTGTGGCTTGACTTTGTCTTTGTTTGCTGAACTATAGACTGACAAAAAAGAAAAGGAGAGAGACCATTTGTCATCCAACTTCTCAGCCAACTTGAAAGGAGGTCATTTTTCTTCCAATCCCAAAGCTAGATCTCCAGCTCCCTCTCCAGTTTGGTAAGCCAAGTACATGCTTTAGCTGGAGGTTGAGCTATAACCAGCTCTAATTGTTTTGTTGATTAAACGTTAGCCTCCACAGGAAAATCAGTGCAACCTTATTTGGTGGTATAAATGTTTTCTGTATGCAACAAAGTAAAGATGATATTGTTTTTAGAAAAATAAAGTAATAAAGCTGTTGCTTTTTAAGGAAAGGGAAAAAGGAGCAATGTACCTGGTTTCTTACCTCTTGGCTGGGTCAATGCTCCCATGATCTACAAAGAGAAACATTTTTACTGAAAGCTCATTGGTTGTTCCAGCAGTTCTGCTTGATAGCAGAGAAATAGGGAAGTTGTTTTGGTTTTAGCTATTGTAGAGGTGGTATGCTGATGTACAGCAGAGCATGTCTTACATTGATTGTCACTCTGTGATTACACAGGCATGCATCAAAGTCTTTGCCTTCTTTGGCTGGCACGCTCAAGCAGATAACTTCCCCACCTGGTTCCTCCAAAGTTCCTTCTACTCAGGCACGTCCTCCTTCTCCTGGCAATATCCGGCCTGTAAAAAAAGATATCAAACCTGAGAATGAAAAGAAAAGACCAGAAAAGGAGGCTGAAAAGACCAACGAGGAGAGGACAGAAGAGAGTAAAGAAACATCAGCAGGTGCTGGAGAGTTTGCAAATCAGGAAGAGCTTGCTGTCCAGGAAGATGTTGCTCAAGGTAAGGAGAAACTCCTGTTGAGGATAAGGATTGCCTGAGTGTCTTTCATGTTCTTCCATCCCTTTTTCTGAATCAATAAGCTTTAGATAGCTTTCTATCAAGTATTTGTCTAAGTTTTTCAGAATGTTACACCTACGTATGTATGTTAATTATGAGAAAAGTATAAACAGACTGAAACCCTCCTTTTGCAACAGCCAGAACAGGCACACCTGTCTTGCACATCTGTTTTCTCTGACTTTTTGGTACAGAAAAGGTAGACTTTGTCCCTCACATCATGATACAAGTTTTTTTCAGACCTGGAATAGAAGAGCAGTGGTCTGAAAATCAACCATGCAGGAAGTCATCACTTAACGGAGGTAATGTGAGCAATGAGAAAGTCCAGCTTTGCTAGATGCATAGTACAGTGATGCATATCTATCTTATCTACAATATTGCTTATCTGTAATATTGCTGGAGTACCAAGGGTAGGGGAAATTAGCAGGGTAAGATGGAATGCAAGAAGATACAACGTACAATAATGATAACAAGTCATAAGAAGAGGAAAAGATACATCTGAAAGTGAGAAATATTGGCTTGTTCTAATAGAATTTTTAGACCATTGCAAATACAATATTGAAGTATCTCAAGGATGGGATAGAATGGCCATTGTGGCCCCTGACGTAGACAGGATGGGTTACCTGGTGTTCTTGATTTAATAGTAATAAATTCTCTTGTGACTGTCCTTCAGAAAACAGTTTTATGTATTAATTATCCTGCATTTAACTGCAAGATGAGTAATTGGAGGTTGTTGTTCTGTAAGAAAACTTGTGAAATTATTACATTTGTTTCAGTAACTCCTGTTAACAGTAGTTGCAGTGTGGTTCCTAGGTCATACCACAAAGATGCATCTGTTGGTAATGGGTATGTAAAGAAGGTATGAGATGATTGGCATGATGGGATGGGATTTTATTGCTTTTCTGGTAGCCTTTTGCTTGCATCATAGAAAACTTCCTTTTCAAAGTACTTTGAGGATACCTGTAAGGGTTACCTTTTGCAAGCATTTACATGCAGTACTTTCCAAGTCCAAAGTAAAGTCCAGAAAAACATGGAGATGTTTGTTTGGCACTTCAGCTCAGGAGAAAGAAAGGCTTAACTTCTCTGCAGAGTTGGTCAATATTTGGGTAGTGACAGGTTTACTTAGTGTGGAAACAGGTTGTCTATGATAAAGGGATCTGAAAGTAAAGTAGTTCATGTTTGCAGTGGGGAAACAGCAGGTAGTGAAGAGAAGCAGGGGAGAAGATACTGCAGTCATAGTGGTGAACAGCACTTCAGATTGGATGTATTTTGTCAAAACCAGGGAATAAAGTCACTGATGATTGAGACCTAAGACTGGAACCTAAGCATAAGGACAGATCTTGCTTTGCAGGTAGGGGCCCAAACTGTCAAACCTTAGCCACTGGTTGAATCCAAGAGTTTAGAGTGGAGCAAATGCAACTTTTAGTGCTAGAATTTCATTCCTGGAGGTGAGGAGTTGATTTCAGCCAGTTACCTGAACTGGCCTCTAATTCGCCTGGTTCAGACCCCTGTCAGCTGTGTAGGTAGCCAGAAGGTGAGCAGATAATGATCACTGATGGAACTGTTCAAGCTTTTGCTGTAAAATCTCATTATTTTACCAATGCTGTTATTGTTCTAATGGAATTTTGGGTGCACCTATGCAAGTTGTCCTCGTCCTTTCTGACAACAGGGCAGGTGAGCATTGAATGAGCTATGTGTTACATTGCCAGAGTCAGCACCTGAAGGAAAGAAGTAAAGCCCAAGCACTGCAAAGCTGTGCTACATTCAGAGGTGACAGCCCTGCTTTGGTCCATGTTAGTAAACTGACAAGGGCAGAGGTTCAGGAACTCTGTCACTTCTACCATTTAACTATTACAAGCATTCTCTACTGTGTTTCTGGCCCAGGTTGTAATTGCAATGCCACATTTTCTTCTGTCACCAAGGTTACTAAGCATAGCTATAAAGGACTCCAAGACTTTAGGAGCGCTCGGGTTACTTACTTTTTTCTTCCAGTCAGGCAGATTTTTCTGAGTTCCCTGCTTTGTCTTTGGGGTTAGCCTAGCCCAGGTTTGTTCCCTAGGAATATACTGAACACTGGCAGTGTGAGAGGCTGAACTGTACCGCTTTTCTTCAGGGCAAGGGAACAGGCCCTGGAACTCTTAAAAGGACTTGTATAAGTATAAGCTTTGAATTCAAAGTGAGCACGCATAAAGATCTGTAGAAAGACCTATAATGAATTGATGAAAAAAAAAGACAGAATTCAGTAGATGTGAACACTGAGCAGAGAAAGCAGCTGAATTTGTGTTTGTGCATGCAGTGATATATAGGAGAGGACATCAGAGGAAACTTGATGAGGGATGTAGAGCACAAGCCTTATGAGGAGTCACTGAGGGAACCAAAATTGTGTAGTCTGGAGAAGAGGAGGCTCAGGGGTAACCTTATCAGTCACTACTACTATCTGAAGGGAGGTTGTGGTGAGGTAGTAGTCAGCCTTTTCTCCTAGCAATAGGACTAAAGGGAATGGCCTCAAGTTGTGCCAGGGGAGATTCAGGTTGGATGTTAGGAAAAACTTCTCCAAGAGAGTGGTCAGGCACTGGATTGGGCTTCCCAGGGTGGTGGGGGAGTCACTGTCTGTGGAGGTGTTCAAGAAACTAGGAAATGTTGTAATAAGGGACATGGTTTAGTGGGAAATACTGGTGATGAGTGAATGGTTGGATTGTATGATCTTGGAAGTCTTTTCCAACCTGGGTGAGTCTATGATTCTATGAAACCCCTACTGGAAGCTGTTAATGAGGTGAGGAAAACAATACTCTAAATATCAGTTAGAAATGTAGATTGAAGTTATCTCCTTGCCAGTTCTGATGACTTACTTCACATTTATCTTCTCAAGATCCTGACTCAATTACTAGTTCATATGCTTCCCTACCCGTTTTTTGTCCATGTTGCCAGATGTGATTACCCTGAGAGTGCTTCCTTCAAGTTAGCTTGTGTGTTATTAATGGCCTCTGGCCTCCAGGGAAAAAGCATAGCAGAGATGTCCTTTGCCTGTGCTAGAAAATGTCAGGCAAGCTTGCAAAAGTGTGAATTAGTATTTAACTTGAGAAAAATTTGTGATGTCTCCTCTACCAGTTGGCTAGAGATGGTCCTGGGTAAAGAATATAATATGAAGCAAGTGCTTGCCTCACCACTGTAAGAACAATTTTTAAAAAGAATACAGAAGGAGGGAAAGCAATCTTTACCTTCATAAGAGCAATTCTAGTGAATGGTGACAGCAAAGCCTCTTAGGGTTTGAATTCAAGCCACAGTTTACCATTAGTGGCAAGGCGTGTATGAAGCTGCACTGTTTCTCTGAGTTTCTTGTTGTGGATCAGCCATAACATATATCAAAAGTACCTACAGAAATTCTAATTGGCTGGTAAAAGCTGGAATATCTGCAAAGCTGCTAACAGTTTGTGTTCTGCCCTTACTACTACAAATCACTACAGGCACTGGATGTTTGAGATCACAAAGTCACTTAAAGGGACTGGCCTACTCACCAAAAAGTGTGGCTCTCATTTTCAGCTACAGTCTATCAAACAGAAGAAAACGTAATATTACAACATGTAATTTCTGACTCTGAAAATTAGCAAATATAATGGTAGAGACTTGCTGAGTCAGCATTCCTCCCATTGAGACCCTGTCAGCATTTATTCTTCTGACAGAGAAGCTGGCTTAACCTTCCTACTGAAGCTGCTTTCACAAAACAGACTTCCATTGGAAAGTAAGTATTCATTGCTTTTATAAAATTCTTCCTCCATGTAAGCTTGAAAATACTTTACGGAATATTTGAAACTGTATTTTCTTTTCCTTTTAAGAGGTAGGCCTGTGTGAGAGAGAGGTGGAACAAGATAAAGAGAGGAAGAGAGAAAAATACAAGTATTATCTTGGCTACTGTGCCTGTTGAGACCAGTTTTTCTTCCTATCTATTTCAGCAGCCAGCCCATCCCTACCTCCTCCTCCCCCAGCACTTTCTCCACCCCCAGCCCCTGTGAAGACCTCTGCAGGTACAACAGATCCTGAGGAAGCAACAAGGCTGCTGTCAGAGAAGAGGCGCCTCGCTCGTGAGCAGCGGGAACGAGAGGAGCAAGAAAGGAGGGAGAGAGAAGAGCTTGAAAGGTGATCCTGTGCCTCTTTAGTGGAGAATTTAAGTTTTTAGCAGCTTCCTAGCAAATGTTTGTCCATATTTTGTTGTTATATTGTAATATACGAAGCACAGTGCTAAGGTGCAGGAGACACTGCACTTCTCCCAGATTTTTTTTTATTTAATTTTTCATGGAAATGTATATCTAAACATATCTATAATGTTTAAACCTATCCCAAATAGATACGTATTTCATTAGAGCTTGAAAAAACTCGGAATCCTTGGAATCTTGAAAAAGCTTGGAATCCTGTCATATAATGGAGAAGTAAAACCTTGCAAAGGTTTTATGTTGTTCAGTAGGGCATCTACCATCATTGGTGCCTGCTGGAAGCAGAAGAGGTGTCTTGGCCTCACCCTGCTCAGATGTTTTTGAGGTTCTTATGAATGAAAAAACAGTGTAGCCTTTCTCCAGCTGTTCTGCAGTGCTGATGTCTTGGATCAGGAGTCAGCTTTTTTTCTTTTTATCTTATGCTTTTTTCATGATTGCAGGCAAAAGAAGGAAGAGCTGTCCCAGAGGATAGCTGAAGAAAGAGCTCGCCGAGAAGAAGAAGAAGCTCGCAGACAGGAAGCTGAAAAAAAACGAAAAGAAGCAGAGGAGGAGAGGGAAAAGGAAGAACGGCTGCGTCGACAGGCAGAAGAGAGAGAACAGAAGGAGAGAGAAGAGATGGAGCGCATTCAGAAACAAGTATGTTCCCCTCTTGGAATTTCTGTGCAGCACCTAATTTAGAGGGGTGCTTAAAATAGAAATGCTACACAGTGTGAATATGTGTGGTGTGATGTGATGTGTGTGGCTGAATTCATCTCATGGAGTGGTTCAAAGAGTAAAGATGATGCTTCTTGACAAAAGCTTGCAGTTTTTGATTAGCTTGTTTTTGTTTTTTGTTTTCTTGTAAAAGTTGCTTATTTTAGAGCAAATCCTGTGATTAAAAAATCAATAGGGTTGTAACAGTGGAAGTTTATGAATGGTGCTATGTGAGAGAACTGTTTGTCCATACAGTTGTAGAAGGTTTAGAGACCAATATAACCACTGATACCTCATACCTGGAAACGTTCAAGGCCAGGTTGGATGGGACTGAGCAACCTGGTCTAGTGAGAATAAACTGTTACAGTAGTTCCGTTGTGTAACACTGTCACATTAAGGCAGCAAAGCATTTCTACAGTATATTCCAGTGAAGTTTTACATTTAACTTAAAAAGCAGGAATTGAAAGCTTGTGCAAATGTACCTGTGGCTGTTTGTCCTTGGCCTCACTAAGCAATAATTCTGCTGGCCAAATAAAGCATTCTACTTCTTTTGACTTCCAAAAGCATCCACCACTCAATACATGGATTTCTTGAATGCTTTGCTGGCTGCTGTTCCAATGCTGAAGGTTAGGAAATGTATTTATCATCTGGTCTGCTGTCAGTACACGCCAGTCAGAACAGGCAAAGAACCTTATTCATCTCTGCATGTTATGCAGAACATAGATTAATAAAAAAAGTGCAATTCAGTCTGAGAAGGTTGTTCGCAGATTTAAATCCCAAGGTGTTGCAAATACATATAAATGAGTGGGTATCAGTGTAAATCTGTCCTCAAATAGTAATTTTTTCCCTTGCTTTTTTTGTCCACCATCTCAACTCAGAAAGAAGAGGAAGCTCGCCTACGGGAAGAGGCAGAGAGGATTCGATTAGAACGTGAAAAGCATTTCCAAAGAGAAGAGCAAGAGCGCTTGGAAAGGAAGAAGGTAGATGTGTGGGTAGATAGGACAAAGAGGAATGGTTTTAAACTAAAGGAAGGGAGATTTAGATTAGATGTCAGGGGGACGTTTTTTGCAGAGATGGTGGTGAGGTGCTGAAACGGGTTGTTCAGAGAGGTTGTGGATGCCCTGTCCTTGGAGATGTTTAAGGCCTGGTTAGATGAGACCCTGGGCAGCCTGGTCTAGTACTTGATCCAGCAGCTGGCAATACTACATGCGGCATGAGGTTGGAACTTGATCACTGTTGAGGTCCCTTCCAACCCAAGTCATTCTATGATAAGGTTACAGTACATGCAGAGAAGCTGTAATTCATCTAGCTTCCACCTCTGCTGTAGGAAGTTATTCACAAAGTTAAGGTGTCCTTAGAAAAGCTGTGGTCCTCATCAGTGTAGCCTGATGTGAAAGTACAGATAATATTGCCAAAAGTAAAAAAAAAAAAATAAATTATTTCTTTTTGCAGTAAGCAAATGCAACTTTGGTAAACAGCAGACAGTTATGATTTGGGAGAGAAAAATTTAGATTACTGCTAGCAAACATTATTTTCCTCCTTCGTGTTTTTTGCAGAGACTTGAGGAGATCATGAAGAGAACTAGGCGTGTAGAAGCTGTAGATAAGGTCAGTGCCACAAACTTGTCATGCATAAATAGTGGGCACATTTCAGTTCCTCCCTCTGGTGCAGTTTTTAATGTATAACGTTATGCTTCCTTTGTAGAAACCCAATGACCAGCAGAATGGACATATATCAAAGGCAAATAATTCTGGAGAAGCAGGTATTGTATTTAACTGTACCCTGAGTACAACAGGTGAATAAATGCTTATTGAGCACAATTGCAGTTAAGAAAACCATTAGAAGAGTTAACTGAAGTCCTAGTAAATGTTATTTAATTAGCCTTTCTGCATCGGTAATTATCCATTACTAAATGGGTCAGCTGTTTCAGTAATTTTATTACATTGGTTTAACAAGAGGGAGCTGCTTACCAAGTTTAATTATTTATAAAGTTAAAAAAAACCAACACGTTAACTAGTTTAGTTTTTACAGACTTGGCCAGTGATTTTACAGTTTCTCTTTTCATAGTATTAGAGATAGGATCTGTCATTAAAACAAACCGTTCACAATCCTAAATATTCCCCCATGCTTTCTCTTTCACACCTGCTGCTTTATTCACTTGATGTTAATTTCTACATCTTTTCTTTCAAAATTCAGCTGTTACAAAGCCTTACAGTCTCTCTGTAATACTCACACTCAGTCTTTTCTTCAATTCTGTTTCCACTGTTTTTTTGTTTTTTTTTTCCTTCCCCTCTGGTTTTTTTAGATAAAATTTAATCTGAACTTTAATACTTAGAATAAAGGAAGCAACATAAAAGTTACCATATATTCAACAATAGGCAAATACTAATTAGCAGGATTTAAATATACTGAAGACAATCTGTCAAGTAGCTTAAACTGTAATAGCATAATATAGCAAGTGATGATAATCTTTATTTCTCTTTTGTATTTGCATTGAGTAACAAAAGAGGACAAATAACGGCACTGGCTGCTCATACTCCTTTTTTCTCCTTTGTGTTTATGGTTAATGTGCAAATGAGCACTGCCAGAAAACTATTTGACATGAATTTCAATATGTGTTTGGAAATTATTTGTTTACATATTATCTTTTTAATTAAAAAAAAAAAAACAAAACAAAACAGTTTGGGAACTGCTAATACAGAATGTGTCTGGAGTGCCATCTGTTACTGCAGGCACTGATAAAGCTGCTGTCAACCATTTAAATAATTCTTGAAAGTAAAAATGGCTTTACGACCTGAGGCTTGTGCTTTCCTTCCAGAGGCAAAAAACAAGTAGTCAGTTTTTGAGGGGAATTTCAACCTCCATTTCTGCAGTGCCAAGGGAAAGCTGGGATCCATCAGTGACTGGGGAAGTAGAAAAGTGCCCTCACTCCTAGGACTGCTTTGCTGTTTCTGACTTTGCTTTATCTTGATATGATATTGAGTTGAAGACGCTAATGGATATACTTCAGCCAGCTCTAACTTTCCATAGTACGTACCAACAGACTGCTTCTGACCATTGGCAAATCACAGAATCACAGAATGGCCAGGGTTGGAAGGGACCTCAAGGATCATGAATCTCCAACCCCCCTGCCACATGCAGGGCCACCAACCTCCACATTTAATGCTAAACCAGGCTGCCCAGGGCCCCATCCAACCTGGCGTTGAACACTTCCAAGGACGGGGCATCCACAACCTCTCTGGGCAGCCTGTTCCAGTACCTCACCACTCTCTGGGTAAAGGATTTCCCCCTGATGTCCGACCTAAATCTCCCCTCCCTCAATTTAAAACCATTTCCCCTTGTCCTGCAGTTATCAACCCTTTCAAAGAGTTGATTCCCCTCCCCTCAGTAGGTTCCCTTTAGGTATTGAAAAGCTGCAATGAGGTCACCCTGCAGCCTTCTTTTCTCCAGGCTGAAATTCTGTTGCTATTTTCTTTTCTTTTCATTTTAAATCTTACTGTTTGGCAAAAAATGAAGAAACCTGTATAGGAGTGGCCAAATCACACAGTGAAACAAAATCCATCACCTTTGTGTCATTTGTTTGAGCTCTGCCTCAAAAGAGGAAATAACTCTGCCTTTCCAAAGCAAAAGAACCAGCCTTCTTTTTAAATGTTAAAACTGACATAACTCCCACTTGGTCCATCTGTAGCAGCAGTAATCTGTAAGCTAATACCTGTATGGCTAATATCTTTTATATAAAACCAGATTAAGGCACTCAGCATTGAAGACTTCAGTCCAAGCACTTAGGTCATAGCAGAACAGGAGCTGTGAATGGAGGGCTCTCAGATGAGGTGCTTTAGGTGGCCTAGATAAGTGCATTGAAGCCTACGAATACTAAATTGTTCTTATGATTATTGTAACAGGTGCTAGAGTACACTGCTTCCTTTTGCAGAGCTATATATGAATTAGTATGGCTGTAGGTAGAAAGCAGAAGACTGTAGTTATACTTTAGAAGAACATCCTAAGGCAGGCCAGTGACATCATATGGTCATTGCGTGTCATCCAATTTTAGGTTGCTCTTTGCAGCATTTTATGGTTGTGATTTAGTACCTGTTGAAATTTCCTTCCTGTGGAGATTTTCCCCTTGTTTCTTTTTGGTTTACAGCTAGTGATCAACTCAGGAAACAAGAGGTAATGTTGATGTCCCAGTGTTCTATTCCATTCTTTATGGCATTTTGAAAGAAAAAACAAACAAGTGTAATGTCCTGTAAGATATCATCCTATTTTGACCACCAGGTGAAGTGCTGATATTGTTTACGTGATTGTAAACTGATTGATTATTACTACCAACAAAATTTTAACTTTGAATTCTGTGAAACTGATATGTCCAAAGCTTGACAAAGAAAGCAGAGGGATTAACTAAATTTTTAAAGTGTAGCTTACCTTAGCTGTGCTATCTTTTGTAGAATGTTTTATCCTACTTTGAAGGAAGATGGTGTTGCTTAGTTGTATGAAATTGTGCTTTCTCCCTCTAGTCATAACCAGTCCTACATCTCCCATGGAACCTTCAGGAGGACCTCAGCTTCAGCATGCAACACAGTCTCCAAACAGCGGGAAACCCGTATCCTGCACACACATGATTGTTTCACATCAACCCCCCGTAACTATGGACAGGTAAGAGGATTGTTGAGTATTAGAGGGTGTTCACAGGATAAGAGTTACTAAAGTAATAGATCATTTTCTCAGATCCATGTATTCATTAGCTAAGTAAGAGACACAGCTGTTTAATCTGCCACTTTTCCTGTTTATTTTTATCTTTTCCTGTGTTCAGAAAAGAATTTTAACATCTTTCACTTAACATTTTTACCAACTGAAGAATTTTGTGAAAACATACTTCATTCTTTGCAGTGTTTGAAAGAAGGTGTTGCCAGCAATTATTACATAAATTGAAACTTAATTGACAGGGCAATTCTCTTTGCTTCTTTCCATGAATTTAGCTTCATACAAAACAATCTGGATTTGCAGGGTTAGTTAGTTCTTGACTGGAATAGTGAACACTGTGCTTACAGCCTGGATGCTTCGGTTTGTGAATTGCTTGAAGAATCAGCAAGTTATGATTGTTAAACAAAAGATATAGAACTACTCATTTTGACTCTGTATTTTGAAAGGAAAGTTTGAGGAGGCAGATATTTAACATTAGGAGCTCTTTGTATTGTGTGGCGAGTCACTCAGATTTTGAGAAATTATAGAAATGCTTGAAAGCTCTGTGCTGAACCAAGTGAAATCTGTTACATAAGCATGAGCTGTCAATTACTTCAATTTTAGTAAGAAAAGCAGAAAGCCAAATAATCCCATAGCCCTTTCATGTTTTATGCAGGTAGTGCCAGAATATGCATGGAAAAACTTGAATGTGGAAAGCCATCTCACAGTCTGTAATGGGCAGTAGGCTTCAGGATGTGATTGGCACTAATTGAAGGAGGAATTTGCCCTCTCTGTCCCTCCATATGCCTGAGGGATCTTAGCCTGCTGTCATGCTGACAAAGATGCTCCTGCTGAGATAAGTTCTGTCAGTGACTCTGAGCACTGAACTGCATTAGATGAGCTGCATAGAGCTGTCTCATAATTATCTCAGGCAACGATTAATTGTTAATCACTCACAACCTTAGATGCACCTTGATGTCTGTAATATAAAATGTGCCACACTAATGAATGCTGTCATGTAGCATCGTATTTGGTATCGAAGGAGGATCTGAATAGCCAAAGTGAAGAGTGAATAGGTAAGACTGAAGAGCATGAACAAAAATTCAATGTGTGTATGAGGCTGAGGAAGGAGAAAGTGATGTGCCAGGATAGAGTGCAGAGGGACTGTCTGCTCTAGAGGAACATCCACACTGAATGGGAAGGCAAGAGCTAAATTACTTCATAAAATTGTGGTGTTAGCCTAAGCAGCTCGGCAGACTGTTGGAAGGAAGACATGGCAGCACAGATTTTATCACATGGTGAAAGCCACAGGTGCCAACACCATTGCTACTGCATCTTGTGTGCCATATCTAGCACCTAGATATACCTGATATTGTAGCATACGCAATAGTAATAAATATAGACAGTGTTCTCTGTGAGCATCTCACTCCAGCCCTACGAAAGATTTGGCTTTTATTTGGATGTTTTGAGGGTGAGAAAGCTCAGATTTCCAACCAGAAATTGAAGTCCCCCTTTGCTTGGGAGATTTCTAGAATATGTGTGTATGGGCAAGAGGAAGGAACAAAGGACTGAGGCCCATTAAGGCCTATAGCAACCATCAGTCTCATTGCACTTCCTACAGTGGTGTGCCATGTGGGAGGTTCCAAGCTACAATCACTGAATTCTTTTCATCCAAGTGTAGTGCAATGGAAAAGACAGCACTAAATATACTTCTAAATGAAGCTTGTCATGGAAATTTCCCTATTAGATAGTAAAGCATCTGGAATTACTCATGGAGATACTACATTATTAATGACTTACACTTCTACATTGATTGTGGTGGCTTTGTGGGCTTTTTTCCCAGCAAATGGAAAAAGTGAGTTTGAAACACAGTTTGAAAATAGTATGTAAGGTAAAATATTTTCAAACTTTTCACATATTATGAAAGATTCCAACAAAACTTATTCCAGATCCTAATTTTCTCATGCTGTACTGAACAGTAAAATCCTGAAAGAAGCAGAATGATAGAGTTTGGGGTTGTAAACAGCTACAGAACTCATCTTTCACTTGGAGTTTTTTGTTTGTTCTCCACTTCCTAATTTTTTGCCAAAATTCCCAGCAGTGCTGGGCACTGAGACATCACTGTAAGTGGAACATAAGACGGTAAACACAGGTGAAGTAGTTCAAAAATTGATTCCTTTTTTGTGTTCTTTGCCTCAATGACGCATAGAGGTCATTTAGGGAAAGAGTGTAAAGAGGGGAGGAAAAAAAAAAAGCTAAGTACCAGGAGACCCTTTAGTCAATGAAGGGTTACTATGTGTTGTGGTGCAAGTGCAACCCTAGGCTCAAGTAGTCCCAAAGCTGCTAATTACCAGAAGCTGGAGGGCATACCAATCTCCTAGGAATTTGTCTAATCTGCTTTTGAGATTATGGCCCCTAAGATGTCCAGTGGAAATGAATTCCACCGTTCAGTTTTTCCCTTTATTTCTACTAAACATCTCCTTAATGATTCGGTGGAGTGCCAACTATATCTTATAGCATAAAAACCAGAAAATATCTAGTCGTGATTTTTCCCTGGCTTCCCCCCCACACTCTGTCCCCCCCTTTGTGACTATACAGATGCACATCTTGAAAGAGAACTTTGAATTCTGAATCCTAGTATGACTTGATGTGTAACACTGACAAAGCAATGACCAATAAATATGGAGAACTATTTATCAAGTTAGTGGGTCAATCAGAAAAATAAGTGTAACTTTGCAGAAACAGAAGGCTTCTCTTCATTGTGCCAATACTTCCACAGGTAAATGTACTGCCTAATTTCAATGCAGGAGCAAACCTCATCTTCCCGCCTCTTTCCCGCCCCCTCCATCAGATTTTTTAATACTGTGTTATCTTAACTCTGGTAAGGTTATTGGCAGAAGATGGGGATGAGATAAGTAACGTGACACCTTATAGCAAATAATAGCCTAATAACTACATGTGATGGAGCAGTTTTTATTAGTATTAAAGCATTTCACAGATTGTTACTGAGTGGATCTCCAGCAGAAAAGGCTGGGTGATGTGACACGGGGTCTCTCGCAGGCAGAAAGCAGGGTCTCTGGGTCTGCTTTCAAAGCCATGTGCAGTGAAACACTTTCCATTTTGAAGTTTGCTTAGCATGCTCACAGGCTGAAAAAGAAAAAAAAAAAAGAGAAGAGAAAAGAAGGGAAAAAGAAAGAAAACAGGATTGCCTTGCCTTTCTGGAAGGGAACTGGTGATAGTTTGAAAAGCTGGAAAAGATTTGATATGAAAACCAGCATGCTGTTCTTACAGGAAATTTGGGCTTCAGATGACGTGTTACCTACCATCTTTTTAAGTGCAATATTTATTTTCCATTGTTTGGGAAGTACTGTGAAACAATTCTGTAATTGTAAAGACCTGGCCACCCTAGCAGGCTGGTCAGTGTAAAGAAAGCTTCTGCCAATTGCAGGCACAATTTGTTGGGTTGTTCTTGTTTGTTTTTTTGTTGTTTTATTTTCAGACTAGTACTTGTATTCTCAGGAGAAAACAAGCCTGTGAAACCAAGCTACCTGCTCAGAAATGGCCTGAGGACATTGATAGCCTTGTTCAAATCTAGGAAAATGCATTTGAGCATTTGTGCTGAAGCATTTCCTAACAACCTGAAGAACTGTGATATGGGAACACGTGCCCCAGACTGCCAGGATCTGGCAGTGAAGGGCTTTCAGGAAGCACCCGTGAAAGATTACATGACTTTGAAGTGATAGTTGGGCACTCCCTCTTTCTCAGAGAACTTTGGATGCCATTAGTCATCCTGTTCACCACAGTAGCACCTTAGTTCCTCCCCTGTGGTAAGACAGCACACGCTGCATGAAAAGACAGCAGGATTTAAAAGACAGCAGCTAATAAAAGAGTCGGGAGAGATGTGAGGGCTGACACAAGGTGATGCGTGTTCTCAGAAGTGTAGGTGCACCTGGAGAGCGTTCCCTGTGAGTTGGGGAGATGTGAGGGATGCCAGGAGGTGCTGCTTTTGGTCTGGACTGGTCATTGCACGAAAGAGTCAAGCTGTGCCTGGAAAATAAGGCCCAGTGGAGAGGGATGAAAAGGAGAGCTGAATTGATACAGGAGTTTTTTTCTCTGGGTGAGTGGCAGGTAGAAGAGGCTGCTCAAAAACTGGAGGCAGGTGGTGATCCAGAGTTACAAAAATGACAGCGCCCTCGTCTGAGAGCAGTTAGACTGATTTGCAGTATGAGGAAGGGCACCTCAGCACTCAAATATGGCAGTGCTTATGAAAGCCAAGAAAGGCCACAAATCCCACTACTTGCTGTAACAACAGCTCATCTGCCGTGGTAGTCATGACATTTTCATTTCACTGGCTAAAAGAATGCTGTGGATTAATGCAAGTTTCAATTTGTAATATTGCTTTAAGCAGGACTATTCTTGTGTTCTGAATTAAGTGTATGATGAGATGCTTACGTTTCTCTCTCAGCAATCTCAACCCAGAGAAAAATACAGAGGAAAATGGAATGTCTGTGCAGAACGATAACTTCGAAGAGATCATAAATCTACCTATTGGTTCTAAACCATCCCGCCTGGATGCCCTGAACAACGATGGAAGCGACAGTCCCGGAATTCCTCTGAATCCAATTTTAGCTTTTGAAGATAAGGGGACTCTTTTGCCTCAGGTAGACAGTGTTCAAACACATCAAACAGCAGGTAAGTTTGCCTTAGTTCACTACAGTTGGTGATGTGGATCTAGAGCTTCTCCTTGACACAGGTTGAATAATTCAAGCATTTTAAACCCAAAATTCTTTGTGGAGAGGAGCAAATCTTCTGTTTGTAAAGCTATGTATACCAAGCATGCAGATGCTGTGTGAATTATGATGAGTCCTCATCTTTCATTTGAGAGGTGTTCTCAGTTACACTGTGCTATTTGCCTTTAGGAGTTGCTTGAAAACATTTGCCCTGTGCTTTCAAGTGGAAATGATAACAGTGACAGCTGTTGTTCTTAGTTTATGATCTGCAATCATGTTCCAGTATTGCAAATGTAACATCTGAAATGCATGCACTGAAAGGGAGCTGGTAGCTGCCTTTTATGTCAAATTCTGAATGACTTCCCTCATCAAGTTCTTGCTGCCATGAATACTGAGTGGTGGTTTGCAGCACAGCAGATTTTTTCTGAATTGCATTGTAGCTTTTAAAAGATGTTGGGTAAACAGTTATTAGCATAAGAAATTAAATTGGGCAACCCTAATTTACCTTCTCTTGCCTAAAATATAAGAAAAAATCATCTTTCAATAAAATATTTGCTTAAGTGCGTTCTGAATTAAGCATTCCTACTCTTTGCTGACCTGTCATTTCCGATGCCTTCTGTTGTAGAAGTGATCTGATTATTTCTTCTGAAGAACCAAAGGTGACAAAAACATCTCTGCAGTCAGTGGGAGTTTCTTCCATGCAATGAAGGAGTGTTTTATTTTTCTCTCCAGGTTTTTTAAAGATTTCTTGAACATCTTTTTTCTTTTTGGAAGGACTTTAGTAAAACCAGCAGAAGAAATGATGGACATAGACTTGGATCGCCTTTCTAATAGTTTTCATCACTAGAAAAATCATGCTTCACATGCATTACTTAATATGGCTTTTTCCAATGAGCTTTTTCTGTTAGTAAATGGATATTTCTGCATTCCTGAGAACACAAGACACTGGAATCTGAAAGCAATGATTCGGGTGGTGGGGCTTTCTCTTTTTTTTTTCTTCTTTTTTCAGGTGGGTGTTGGTTTAAAAGGCATAATTGTAAAATTGGCAAAGAATCTTTTACACTTTGTGGTTCTGATACTTGAAAATTAAATACCTCATTGCTCTATGAGTAGAGTTAATGAGGTGTTTTATTTAAACCTGTTGGTTTAAATATTATTGCAGAGAACTCTAATTATGGGGGCAGAGCATCGGCTTCTGTATCAGGTTCTTGTAAATGTAATTCCTACAGGGACGTTCTGTAAATTGAGATGTCACTATGATCTTCTCACATTTTCTCTAAAAACACAAAACGAGGCAGGTTTTAAAATGTGAAAATTTGAAAGCATTATTTTTTCATGGACAAGAGGAAAACCTATCGTTCTCCTAGATGATGTATTTATGAATTTTGTTCAGTACAGAAATAAATTGTTTAATTGAATAAATTAGAAAAATGTAATAAAATGGTACTGCAAACTTGATTATTTTTTGTTACATTCACGTTCACAGTACTATAAAAGATGTGCACAGGGAGTAACCTTGTTCTGAGTCCTGTAAATTGCTGCTGTTCCCAATGATGGAAGACTTTTCCTTTGCCTTATCAGACGATTGAAGACTGTGTGAAACCTGAAATAGTTGATTTTTTTGATGATAAAGCAGGTTTGGGGAATTTTTTGGTTTTGCTCGTTTCAGAGCAAATGGAAAATGGTCATTGTTTGTGCTTTGTATGTAGCGTGTGATTTTTATAATGCACTACAGTTTGAGTGATAAGAGGAGCAACGCAGGTTGCTTTCTCTTTAGTTTCATGCTGATTTCTACCATCATTATGCCATCCCTCACTTTCAGTTGTTGTTGAGCAGAACAGTAACATTGTGCACCTTTCTATGCTGTGATAAACCGTGCTGTTGCAGGCAGAACTCACGGGGTGTTTGAGTTGGAAACAGCAACCGGGGCTTCATGCGTTGTTTGTTGAAGTCCCTGAGTAGATCCATAGCAGTGGAAATGGGGTTTACGGGGTTTCGGTTCGTGCTGACAGAGAATGGCCACTCAGATTCCTGCACCTGCCTTTAGTGAGCACTGAGCTCGGTTATAGGAAGCTGTGCAGAAAGTCTGTGCTTGCAGAAGAAATCTTCTGAGCCAAAAGCGGAAGAGTTCTTGAAGAAATGACTTTCTGCTGCTGCCAAGCGTTCATCCTACACAGGAGATGGGATAAAAGCAATGGAAAAGCAAAGAAAAAGAGACTTATCTGCCAGAATGCGTGGAAGCTATTCAGTCTATTCAGTCAGAATGCTTTCAATAATAGTTCGTGACACAGTAAAATTAATTGGATTCCATACTCACTTTCTTTAATTTTCCATGTACATAGCCACAATATTTTAAAGTGTCCAAAATATGTAGTTTTCCTTTAAACCTTTATAGCATGTGAGTACCAAATAAAACTTGTTTGAAATATTTCTATTTCTACTTTGATTTTCTTGCATACTTGAAGCGGGAGTCAGTCTGTGGTGGAAAACTCTTCTTCATGTTCCTGGTATGCGTAAAACCTCTTTAGTTTTTAGTTTTCCTCTGATCTCTTTACTGAAAAATCAGTACAGGATTACTTACAGCTATGAACACAACAAAGATGTTGCCAGTAAGATTTAGCTTCATTTTTTTTTGGTCCAAGGATTCATTTAGGCTCAGGCATAAGCTGTATTGATCTCGACTATTTTTATGAGACATCAGAACACTCACTTTGCTGTTTAAAGCACAAAGATGAAGAGCTTACTTCATTTTCCATGTGGTTTTTGCACTGGACTGCAAATGAAACAATGTATAATTATATTCATGCCAGGTTTGCTTCAAATAAAAGGGGAAAACAAACGTTCTCTTTCAAGGACCCAGCTGCAAACTGAAGTCCACAGGGTGGGTATAGATGTAGGTGTGAAAGCCCAAAAATATGAGGGAAAAAAAAAAAAATTAAATCTTGGGTTTAACCCAAGATGCTGGAAGATTTGAATATTGTTATCAACAGTAAGTGCAATATAAAATGAATGCCAGCTTTTTTGCCTGCTGTTGCATCTGTTTCGTTATTTGTATGTTTGGAATCAACAGTTCTGAGAGGTAGAATCAGTAGTTGTAGAAATTAGAGTTTTTCTGAAGGTATGGAGTGGTGAGTGACCTTTCACAACAACTATGCTTCTTGCAAAGATGTTGAAGTAAAGTTTGCAATTAAATAGCTAAGAAAAACAGAGAGAAGACACTCCAAAGTCTTCACTTATACCACAGTGGTCATAAAAAGTTGCACTGGTTTTCTGTTTAGAAAATGATCTAAAATCATCCAAGGAGGTGGCCTAAAGTTGGAGATCTCCTGCTTTCATCCCTATCCGCATCAGTCAGCTCCTTTTGGTCCTCTGTTCTAAGAACCCAACTGCACCAACATGCATCATTAGGTGCATGGGTCTTTCATGTGATGTTTCTAAAGAAATTTCCTGTCTGCTACACATGAGTATTGAAAATTCCATACTGCTTTACCTAACAGCTATCTGTTCTTTAACTAGTCTTTTTGCTGTGCTGTAGAGAAACTTGTACCTGTTTGGGGCTGGGTTTGTTTGTATGTTTTTAGACCTTATAATTGGAGAGAATTTGCAATTGCTGAAATGAAACTTTACCCAAATAAAATGTCTCCCCATGCTCCTAAGCTCAGCTTAAAGATTTGGGCCAAAGTAAAATGTTATAGTGAGATCTTAGTTGGCAGATGTTTTCCTACATCTCACTCAATTTGTATTCCATGTTTGTAGCCAGTAGCAACTCTAAAGCTGTACTTTTTTTTTTTTAAAGACAGTTTGTTTTAAAAGAAACTGTGCAATCTGGGAGCAGAGATTTGCCAATTCTATTGTTGTAAAACTACAGTATTCCAGCCAGTCCAACAAGAAGCTTCAACCAGCTTCCTGAATTTGAAAAAAGAAGTGTATGTTTTAAAGGGGGAAATAGATTACTACTGAATTATTAGTAGTAGTAGACAACTATTAATAGGTTAGCTTTCTCCTAGAAATTAAAACATTAAAAATATATTAAAAAAAAAAAACAAAAAACAGTGCTTCACAAGTTCAAGACTCTGGACTTTGGTATGTTTTTTTTTTTTGTTTTGGTTTGGTTTTTTTGTTTGTTTGTTTTTTTCTTCTGAAAAATACTGTTCTGATTGGCAAGAAGATCCATGAGAGATTCACTGCCCCCTGGAGAATAGGGAAGGCATGAGCAGTCTGAACCTCTATACACATCACGAATTCAAGACAGATGAATTTAGAGCTAAGCATACTACTGCATGTATTGGTCCTCTAACTTCTTTCAAAATGAATTAACAGAGTATAACATTAATGTGTAATTTTGTCGAATTTGTTCACTTTCCCTTTTGCAAGTACCTATGGAAATAATGTGCCATTTGCAGAAAACAGATTTCTGTCTTCATATACACATTTCACAAGTCTTTCATGGGAGCTGTTATATTGTGTTTGCTTTTTGATCTGGTCCCATTCTTGTTATTGGAACATCTCTGCTTTATAAAGGTGCTGTGCACCATGTTCACACCAGGAAATTGCAAGAAACAGGAGCAGTTAAGCTACAGGAACCAATGAAGACAGTCATCTCTAAAAGATCAGGCTCTTGGATCTGGTAAGTTTTTTAAGCTATCTGGTTTAAATATTAACTATCTGCATGGCAAATAGCTGCCCTAAGGAGCTCTTGAGTTTCTTCTGTCTGTTGACGGACTTGCTCGAGGAGTTTGGCCATTTGGTTTTTCCTGAATGCTAATGAGAATTCTGGATCTGAAGACAAAAAACGAGTGTTAGGCAAGCTGCAGCAACTGCCCTCTTCAGATGTTTTCCCCTGCATTTTAATGCATGTGCTTAGAATACTTCTATTTTAGGTCAGATAACATCACTTTCTTACTACTGTATAAAATAAGTATACAGAAAGGGGAACAATATCTTTCTGCCACATCAAGCAGATGGACACTAATTCAGTTTTCATCCCTACAACCATTCAAGAATGTTTGCTGCTAAACTTCAGATCCAGAATGGTGAAAGCTGTTTCAGCTGGCAAATTCACTCTTCTGTACTGATTCTGTACAGCAGATATACACAGACGTATCAGAGCTCTGGCTCTGTATTTGTAGAGATACACACTGTATATTTATTATCATTATAATTTACTATCGTATTGCATTTCTCATCTGTACTCAACTTGTACTTAAAAAATGATCTGAAAGCAACAGAACCAAAGATAGAAATATATTAAGGAGCAGAATTTTAGTATGGAAAATACGCAGCTTTCCAGCTTTTGCCATCCATGTGATCTGCTTGTGCTTGCTTAATCAAAATAAATTAAGATTTTAAATTTGAAAAGCTTTTAGGCTGAGTACCATGGATCCTCATATTGGAAAAAAACATCTATAGCCCACATCCTGTTTCCTGCTCATCTAAAAGTTCAAAATGAATAAAGTGTATCTGCGTTTATTCTAAGATATTCTTTCTTGTTTTAAAACAGATAAAATAGTTAAGGTAGCAGCTGTCCTTGGGCTTCTTCTGCTTGCTTAGGCAAGCAGAGCTGTCAGTTCAGGGGTGTAGGTGACAGCCTGTGACAAAGATTTGCCTTTGCTGCTGATGGGAGCAGGCAGTGCCCCATAGGTTTGGCCTGGCGATGAAGACGTACCTGCCTGCAGTCTGCAGAATGTGGAAATGGCCAGCTGCTGGAAGCGAACCTCTTGGTGGGTAAGAAAATTCCTGAGGTAGGCCTGAATCTCAGTGATGTGACACTTCAACAAAAGCATCATCTTTTCTGCATAAATAGAAGAATAACTGGAGATCAGCAGGAGCTTTTAAAATACTTCCATAGCTGTCTAATGTAACAACGCTTCAGATTGTTAATGACAGATCTGCCTTCAGTTACAACCTGTGTCACTGCAGAGAATGGCAAAGGGCTTCCACCTGCAGCCATTAATGGTAGCACTGGTTCTGCATGGAATTGATGTGGGGGATTTCTGCAGAGGGGGCAACTCTGCCAGGGAGCCTGTCCTTGTTTGCTACACGTGCTGACACATACGCTGATCAGCTTCTCATACTGACCAATGTAGCATGCTGCTGCTGGACTCCATCACTGCTTTGCTTTGAACATCTTTTCTTGCAGATCTAAGAAATGCTCGGCTGCACAGAGCAAGTGATCATAAAAGTACTTGTCTTTTGCTCATTAAAATTATGCTCTCTTCATTATCTGTAACTGAAATTTAAAACATAGGCTACCTTCTAAAAAGAGACTTTATTGTTCCTGCTAATCTATTCAAGAATTAAAACAGCAGTGTTTGGTTCACCTTCCTGATGATCCTGTTTCATCTTCCTCTTGCTGGCTGGGCAGAGGAATTGATCTAAAAGTTTGGAATACAACTGTAGTGGAAATGCTAAGTCATGACCTGAAGCAGTAATTGAGCACCTGGTGGGAAGGCAGGGCCAACCCAGGTAAGTTCAGGTGAATGCAATGCACCTGAGTGACCAGAAGGGGTGAAGCCAGGATCTACCCCTTCCCAAACCTCATTGAAGGGTTGGCAGTGGAGGTGAGAGCATCTCTTGTTGGAGATCCCTGCCTACCTGACGCTTTCCGAAGGTAAGCAGCTCTTTTCCTTCATTTCATAGAATCACAGAATCATAGAATCACAAGGTTGGAAACAACCTATAAGATCATCTAGTCCAACCATCTCCTCATCACCATTGCCACCACAAGCACTAAACCATATCACGCAGCACGTCATCCAGACGCCTCTTGAACACTGCCAGGGATGGCGACTCCACCACCTCCCTGGGCAGCCATTCCAGTGCCTGACCACTTTCTGAGAGAAATAGTACATGTCTACAATTTCTACATCTGTGGCTGCTGTATTTGAGTTTCTTCTTATTTGCTGTAGCCACCCTGCTGTCATCATCCTATTATAGCATTACAACAACTATCCATGCCCTTGCAATTGCCCCTTCCAGCCTCTGTTCCAATATGAGGGGATGCCATCATATTGTATATGTGCTGGCAGAGAGAATCAAACAAAGATGCAGCAATGCCTCTTGTCTGCAATGTGTTTCTTTAGTAAGGAGTATTTTACACCATCCCACCTTTCTACTTAAACCTCTCTTTAAGGACCTCAGAATTGGCTTAGAAACTAGCAGAATAGAAGTGCTTAAAGAGGGCAGCAAACACCTCACCCAGACCCTCTTTGGCTAAGGTCTATTTTCACGGCTAAGTGTGTATTTCAAGGGTGACTGGAGGCTCTTTTGTGCTAATGAATTGGTTGAAACCAGATGGAGGATGATGGAGGAATGTTAAAGGTTGTTCAGCACCTGTCAATTAACTCCTTTGGAAAAAGACTCATTTCACTTCAGACAACCATAAGTGCCTTTGAAAGCACAGTTAATGCTGTGTGACAGTTACCGTGA